CCCACCCGCCCGCCCGGCGGCGCCATGCCCAGTGCGCTCGGGGCGCGGCGCTGAGGGGCGCCATGCCCGGCCGGACCGGCCCCAAGATGGACGGGCGCGGCGGCCGCGTCCGCCTCAAGGCGCACTTTGGCGGGTGAGCTCGGGCGGCGCGCGGGGTCGGGCGCCTGCGCGAGCCGACGGGAGGGCCCCTGCCTGGCTCTCGGGGGCTTCCCCGGGAAGCTGGCGGGGACGCGGAGGCCGCAAACCTGTGCGGATGAAAGTCCCGCCACACTGAGAAAACTTTGGCGACTTTCCGCCTGTGCTGCAGGCAGAACCGGGGCTTTTTCTTATTTCGAGGCTGGGTGTTTGCTAAGTGACTTGTGATCCTCCTGCCTCAGCTGCGCGAGTAGCTGGGATCGCAGGTGTGGGCAACTGCCCCGGGCCAGTGTTTAAAAATCGAGGTCATCTAAGCTGATCCTGGATTTAAGGGGCCTCCTTTGAGAAAAGCCTGGGACCAGGCAAGGCCACGCGCGAGCGTGACAGGGCGGTGACCGGTCAGGGCTCACTGGACCCGGCGCCCGGGCTGCTGGCGCTGTGGTGTGGAAAGGGGCGGGGACCCCGCAGGTCACTGCCCCGGGACTCGGAAGTGTGGGGAGCTGTCCTCAGACAGGGGAGGGTCGCTCCCGGGAGAGGATTGGTCCCGAGGCAGGGCAGTGTAGGCCGGCGGTGTAGACTGCAGGGGCTGGGGCTTAGGTCTCGGAGGAGGAGAGGGGAAGGGAGGGGAGCAGAGGCCCCCATCATTCCTCAGGGTCTGGCTGGCCGGCGCTGCCAGGGACACTCAGAGGGGCTCCCCCCCCCCCCCCCGCAGCCGTCACCTCTGAGCAGGAGTGGCTGGTCTGGCGTCAGGCTGGGGGCTGCTTGGCTCGGGGGTTTGGGCTGGGAACTTGGCTGTTTCTTGCTCGGGACGCTTGGGGGTTCCAGCCCCTGCCTCTCTGTGGTGCATCCTTGGGGTGGGGGCAGTGACTCGGCCAGAGGGAGAGTCGGACGAGGTCAGAGTCGCTCCGGCCCGGCTGGCGGGCTGCTCTGTGTGGACGCTGCGACAGCCAAACCGAGGGCCCACCCTCCGTCGGAAGTGTCGGGGGCCCACAGCCAGGCCCTCAGGCCGCCCCAGGCGAACCCCACCGGCCCGGCCCCTGGGAGCGCTTTGGTTACGCGGTGTAATTCAACCTGCGGACTCCAGTTTCCCAGCGAGTGTGGCGTCCACACCCTCCTGTCTTCCCGGCCTCCTCCCTCTTCCCAAGGGCCTGCCTCCCTTGCCTTCCCCTCCCGCCTCCTCCCTGTCTCCTCTCCCAGGTGCCCCTCTGTCCCCTCCCCCTGCCCGGAAGTGGCTGAGGATCCCGTCCCAGGGCTGAGACCGGCAGTGCTGTGGGGAAAGTGTCTGCCCTCAGAACCAGATGGAAGCCGTGGGTCTGGTGCCATTGTGTCCAGGGCTCCAGCCGCCCCTAGGGCCCTGCGTGAGGTGCACAAGAGTGCTGTGCCGGGTGCCCATCCCCTTCCTGTCCCCAGCTGCCAGGTGTGTCTGATGAGCCTGTTCCCCGTCGGCCAGGCCAGGACTCTGCAGGCTGTGGGGAGGACAAGCCGCATCAGTCCTTGTGGACAGCGTGGGCTCTGGGGCAGCCTCGTCACCGCCACCCAGGGTGCCCGTCCGGGGAGGGAGGTCTTTGGCCAGGCTCCAAGGGTGCCCGGTGGGTGCCCCGCAGAGGACCTGGGGGCTGCTTGCTCTGGGTTTACCGTCTCGTCACACGGACTGTGCAAGTGTGTTTGTGGTTGGTCTGAGCAGCCCTCCTTCCTGTTTGGGAGCCCCAGAGCATTTGAGTCAGCTGCGGGTTTCTGCTGCAGTTCTGATGAGTGGGGAAGGTCGGCTCCTGCTCAGTGTTTAGTAAAAACAGTCGCACCCGAGTGAGTCCCTTCCTTGCCTGGGGACATGGAGGGGGTGATGTCCTCCCACTTGCTGTCCTGGGTCGTTGGGTGCCCTTCACCAGGGAAGGGCCGGGAATCTCAGCATCTCCTGACATCCACATTCAGATCCCAATTTGAGAGGAAAAGATAGAAGGCAGTGACAATCTGGGACTCGGTTTTCAAAAAAAAGTTCCTGGAATTGTGTCACAGTTGAGACACTGAGGTCCGTCTAGTCCTGCAAGGGCTTAAAAAGTGCTACCTCTGAGCCAGCATGGTGGCGCATACCTGTAATCCTAGGGCCCTGGGAGGCCGAGACAGGAGGGTTGTAAGTTCAAACCCAGACTGGGAACTTAGGGGGACCCTGTCTCAAAACAAAATAAGAATGGCTGGGATGTAATTCTTGGGCTTGGATCAGTGAGCTCCTGTCCCCGCCAGGGTCACTGTTGTGGAGAATGGGAACGTGGCACAGTTGCCCAGGCTGCACTACAGGGTGCCATCCAGTGTGTCCGCCTGGCCCCCAGAGCGCAGGTGGTGGCTTCTCACTGCGGTGAGATTGGGTTCGTGGGGAGGCTGTTGTGTTGGCTGGGGAAACTTCCATTTCATCATGGAGCCAGTCATTTGCTCCTTAGTCAGCATGTGGCCTGCCTCAGGTGTGACCCGGTGACGCCCCGCCCTCTTTGCTGCAGGGACATCCTGATCACCAGTGTGGACACTGTGATGACCTTCCACGCGCTCTGCGGAGAAGTGCGTGACATGTGCAGGCTGGATCCACAGCACCCGCTCACCCTCAAGTGGGTGGACAGCGAAGGTAGCCCGCCCTCTGTCCAGGCGTCCTGCGTGGGAGGGGCTGTGGGGCTGCGGGTGTGCAGGCTGCTTCCCCGGGAGGACGGCTGGAAAGCAGCAGCAGCCGGCTCAGCAGAAGCCCGGCTGGGAGAGGGCAGTGAGGCCCGGCTGGGGCAGAGGTGGCCCCTCAGGCGAGTCCTTCCCCACCGCCTAGAGCACCTCCCTGCTGCTGTCGGACAGGGCCAGCCAAGCACAGCCGGGCGGCATTCGCCTGTCCCGCCTCCCCCTGTGCATCTTGGTCTGTCTCACTCTCCCCACCTATCTCCCTCACTTCTCCTCAGTCCCAGACACGTCTAGAAGATGGCCCCACCCGGCTGAGCGCGCAGGGCCCGAGGACCCAGTCCAGCAGGAGCCTCCCGGGGCTGCTGTGTGAAGCTCTAGGTCCCCGTCCAGCTCAGGGTGCAGGAGCCTCTCGTGTGGCCTGGGCTGACCTGGGAGAAGGCTCTCTGCTCCCTTTGCAGACTGGCGGGCCTTCTCTCTGGGGAGTCCTGAGCTGGCCTGAGCTGGCTCCGGGGCCTCGGCTGGGGTGGCCAATGGAAGACGGTGACACCTGCCCACCCTGGCACCTCTGCCTCGCCTGGTGGCCTCAGTGTGCCTCTTGCCCCGCGCAGGTGACCCCTGCACCGTGTCCTCCCAGATGGAGCTGGAGGAGGCCTTCCGCCTGGCCTGTCAGCACCGTGACGAGGGACTCATCCTCCACGGTGAGTGACGGGCGGATGGGTCTCTGTCCGTGGGCATGGGCGACCCAGACATCTTTGGCCAGGGCATCTTCTGCAGACCACCAGCTGGGGGATGAAGGCCACATGGGGGACAGCAGTTTAAAATCTTACGATGCCGAAGATGTCAGGATTATACTGTATTTGTAGTACTGGGAATTGAACCCAGGGCCTTCACACTGAGCTGCAACTCCAGCCCTTTTGTGTTTTTTATTTTGAGACAGGGTCTCAGTAAGTCTTTTAATGGGCCCAACCTGGGCTGGAACTTGTGATCCTCCTGCCTCAGCCTCCCAGAGTGCTGGGATGACAGGCGTGCACCACCACGCTGAGGGAAAGGATGTTGGTATGGCACTCTTCGGGCTGCTTTTTCTCCCTGGCCCATTGTAAACCACGCAACACCTGCTGGTACACGCGTGGAGCCAGCAGGCCGAGTGCAGCCTGGATTCTTGTGGTCCTCGCTGCTCAAGTTGCTTCCTCTCCAGGCGGCCTCCTCCGTGTCCACAGCCGGCCTGCTCACCTAGTTCTGCCCATCTCGGTGCTACCAGGGGTCGTGGCCTGTGGAGGGCCTGGCATGAGCAGGAGGTAGGGGCTCCCCAGCTGCCTGCTGTTTGCTGTGTCAGTGCCGGAGACTGACCCTCAGCTCTGAGCCAGTGCCATGTGGCAGCTGGAAGCTGTGGTTTCAGCCTTGGTTGGACAGCTGGGTGCTGTCTGGCTCCAGGTGTCCGGGCCACCGTGTGGGCTGCTGGGTGTGGCCGGCCAGCCTGGCCGTGTTCGGTCCTGGTTCTTTGGGCTGGACCAGGTGGGGAATCTGAGCCGGTGGGCTAAGGTACCCAGCTGTGCTGTGTGGACATAGCTCTAGACATAAACCCTACTGTAGGCCACCTATTTTCATGATGACAAATGCATTTGTTTGGCCTCCTGTACTAGAAGGTACCTTGAAAATTCACGAGCAAGGAAATACTTGTTTTAACCATTTATAGTATTTTCACTTGATCTTAGCCAAAAAGCCAAGAAGCGATGATTTATAGTATTTTCTATGCTGGTTTAGTCATTTGTAGAAGTCCAGGGTGTATCTTGAAGTAGTTAACTTTGAACTCTGGTGCATATGGAGAAATGGAGTCTGTTGTGCCTTTAGAAGCCAGTTTCAAGGTGAGCGCAGCCCCTGCCCGTACTGAGTAATGGGCTCGGCTTTGCTCTGCAGCCTCGCAGCCTAGGCACCCGATCGCCTTCTCCCATGTTTTCAGTGGCTTTGGAAGCCTTACAGAGAGGGTTTGGCAGGAGACTGGCTTGGTTTCCAAGGCTTCTGGTGAAGGACTCTCCCCAGGGAGGTCATCACGGGTGCTGTGCTGAGTGCTTTGTGTGGCAGGATCTCTGCCAGACCGGCGCGGGGCAGGCCCTGAGGGGAGGGAGGGACAGGCTGCAGTGAACGCTAACGCTTTTGCTTCCCTCCTTTCCGCCCAGTCTTCCCAAGCATCCCGGAGCGGCCTGGCCTGCCCTGTCCCGGAGAAGACAGTGAGTGCTGCGATTTTCCTTCACCTCACGTGGAGCGGGCCGGGGAGAAGCGCTGACCTGTGGTGTGGAGTGTGGGCGGTGGGTGTTGGGACCCTCCTGCTGGGTCTGCGGCCAGCCCCGTGCCTGTGAGTGGGGTTTTCACGTGGCTGGTGCCCTCGGCCACTTCCTGTGTGGGGTCGGCTGTCCTTTAGCAGCAGAGGGCAAGCTCCAAGAAGGACAGAGGGTCAGGGGAGGGTGTTGCTGCGCCCGTGCCGGCCCCGCTCCTCTCTGCAGGGTGCAGGTGGAGATTGGCCAGTAGGTCCTGGGCAGTGGGCTCTGGGGGACTCCTGTCCACGAGCCTGGCCGTCCTGGAGGCCGTGCTGAGGGAGGCGTGGTTACCAGCGGAGCTTCCTGGGCAGCTGGGCGAGAGGGAGAAGGGCAGGAGGCCACAGCCCGTGTCTGTGTGGCTTTGCCCCGGAGGTGGGGGAACCTGGAGAGTCGGGCTCGGCGCCCCTGACGAGCGTCTGGCCTTGGCAGCGTAGCCTGTTGGGCTTTGGAGCAGGGCTGGCATGGGGTTTCAGGTTGCCCTCCTGCGGGTCCCTGATGCTGACGTCTCTTGTGGTGTGGTGCCTGGGTCCATGGGCAGGAGAGGCACCTGGAAAGGTGTCTTCGCAGGGGGCTTGTCTGCTGCACCCCTCAGCCTTCAGGGTGCCGGTCAGCAGAGTCCCCCACTGTGTCTGCTACAAGCTGGATGAATTTTTTTCATGGTTTTTTTATTGGGGGTTTATCCCAGGACATTTGCACTGAGTTACATCCCCAGCCCAGTTTTATTTTATTTATTTATTTTTTTGTGTCGGAGATTGAACTCTGGACCTTGTACTTGCAAGGCAGGTGGCGGCACCACTGAGCTAAATCTCCAGCCCTCTAGTTTTATTTTTTATTTTGAGGTAGAGTCTCCTTAAGTTGCCAGGTTTCCCCTGGAATGTACAGTCCTCTTGCCTCAGCCTCCAGAGTGTGGGTTAGAGGCTGTAATCCCACACCTGCTGTCACCTGGGTGACGTCTACCTTGGGGATAAGACTGTCCATGTTTGTCAGCTCCACCCTGAGCCAGGTACAGGGGGAGCCCGGGGCATTTGTGAAACCCCTCCCAGCCCAGTGGTGTACGGACCACACCGGCCTGGAGTGGGGAGGTGGCCCCCGGGGCATCACCGGATGTCAGGGCTCAGGTCCCTGCCAGTGGGCAGAGCGGGGAGTGCCAGGAGTGTGGATATCGCCAAGCCTGGGGCAGGACTGTGCCTTTGCTGAGGGTCCTGGATGGGGAGGTGGGGCTGCCCGAGGCTTTGTGACTGGGTTTTGTTGGAGCTTCCTTAGGGCCTGAGGTCCATGGGTTGGGGTAGGGAAGCCTGGTGGGTGGGCGCTCTGCATCCCGGCCTTGGCAGGAGTCGGAGGTTGGGGCCTGCACCTGCAGCCGTGGAGGATGTGGCCTCACAGTCACCCTGCAGCAGTGCAGAAGCCTGCTGTGCTCACCCAGGGACAGGTGACCGGGACCTCAGTGCCTGGTGGTATTTGTGATTTGCTCAGGGTGGGTGACAGGGGCCACCTGGCGGGCAGTGGATGGCTGGTTGAACTGCACCCCACCGGGGCCCCAGGAAGAGGACTGCATGGACGGAGGGACAGATGGACCAGGTGACCCCAGCAGCTTGGGCTCATGGACCGACACCCACCTGCGGCATAGGCGTAGGTCTGCCAGGCGCCTGCTCTCGTGCTCTCTGGACTCAGCTGGTTTGTGCTTCCTTTCTCCTCTCCCCTCCCTGTCTTCTGAGGCTGGTCTCCCTGCAATGCCGCGTGGGCCCAGACCCCCCGCCCGGCTGGCACTCAGGCCCGCGCCACGGTGCCGCCGGGGGCTCTGTGTTGTTTCCAGCCGTGAAGTGCACTTAGCACTTGTTGCTCCCCTCCCCACTTTGCAGTGACGAGGGTTCCCATTGCTAGGCAGCTGCCACCTCTGCCGGTGCCAAAGCGCATCCCTCACGGCAACCCCAGCCCACGGGCATCTGCTGGGCCCGGTAGCCACCCGGCTCCGTGGATGCTTCCTGTGCTGGAGTCCTGTGCTGTGCCGCTGTGCCTGGCTTCCCGCACTCAGCAGCCTCCTCAAGGCCTGTGTGCTGTACGCCTCAGCTGCCATTCTTTCCCTTCTCTGTCATTGTTCCCATGTCCGTGTCTGCGTACCCAGTGATCTCTCCTGGGGCTCACGCACGTGCACGTCTGGGTGCTTCTGTCCGCTCCCCACCATCCCTCTCCACTCTCCATCCCTTAATCCATTTCCCATTCCTATTATCTGTCTTTTATTTTGCGCTCTATGCTGTAGCACTTTGGGTGTCTCACGTGAGAGAACTCATGCAGTAGTGAAGCTTGTGTATCTGACTTATTTCCCTTGATGTCATGGTCTCACTGGGCCCGTTTCCCTACGAATGAACCCCGTTTGTCTTCATGACCGAGTAGGACTGCACTGCATGTAAGTAAGATGTCCCTGTTTAATGGCAGAGGAGCGCTGTTCGGACTTACAACCCATCTGCTTTTTGTGCGGTTCTCTACATCTTGTCTGTCTATAGAGGATCAGTGTCTTTTCCTTTGCCGTAGCACACAGTATTTATACAGCGCTGTAATTTTTCCTGACTGTACTGTACAGTACAGGGCTGTAGGTTTGCGTTCTGTTATGCAATGTATGCATTTAAATTATGCAAATAAAGCCGGGTGTGGAGGCGCATACCTGTACTCCCATACTCAGGAGGCTGAGGCAGGAGGATTGCAGGGAGTTTGAGGCCAGCCTGAACAACATAGCAAGCTCTGCCTCAAAAAAAAAAGTTATGCAAATAAAAACAAAGTCATCAAATTGGAGCTTCCCTTGACCATTTCTTTGCTGTGAATTCTGTAATGTACGTACTCTATACAGTTCCTTGTTTAGTGACCAATTCATTCATCGGTCTGCAAAGTTTTTTTTTTTGGTACCGGGGATCGAACTTGGGTCCTTGCACTTGCACAGCAAGCGGCGAAACCACTGAGCTAAATTCCCAGCCCCTGTGACCAATTCATTCAATGACTGAGTTGCAGGAACGTGGCTCGTCTTAAATGAGGAATGTCTGTACCACATCTTTTTTTTTTTTTTTTGATACTGGGGATCGAACTCAGGTCCTTGTGCTTGCACAGCAGGTGGTGAAACCACTGAGCTAAATCCCTGGCCCTCACATCTTCTTTATCCACTGTCTGTTGACGGGCACATGGGCTGCTCCCAAGACTTAGCTGTTAGGAGTTGTGCCGCTGTAAACGCAGTTGTGCAGGTGCGTCTGCAGCATGACGTCTGTGGCTCATTCAGAAAGAGTCCTAGAAGGGGAATGGCTGGGTCAGATGGGATTTATAGTTTTAGTTTTCTGAGGAATCTCCACGCCGATTTCTAGTGGTTGTGCTAGTTTACATTACCACCAGCAGTGAGTAGTAGGATGCCTTTTTTTGCCTGTAGCCTTGCCAGCATTTGTTATTATTTGATTTCTTTCTTTCTTTCTTTCTTTCTTTCTTTCTTTCTTTCTTTCTTTGGTTTTTTGAGACAGAGTCTCACAACATAGTTCAAGCTGGCGTTGAACTCACTATGCAGCTGAGGCTGGCCTTGAACTCGCAGTGATCCTCCTGCCTCAGCCTTCCTAGTACTGGGATTACGGGCATGTGCCACCACACCTGGCTGGCATTATTTGATTTCTTGATTTAGGCCATTCTTCCTAGAGTAAGATGGAATCTCAGTGTTGTTTTAATTTGAATTTCTCTAATGGCCAGCGATACTGAGCATTTCTTCATGCACTTATCAGCCATCTGTACTTCTGAGAAGTGTCTGTTGGTTGCAGTTGCCCATTTTTTGACTGGGGCTTTTATTTACTGGGTCTGATTTTTTTAGTTCTTTATATATTCTAGATATGAGTCCTCTGTCTGAGGTGTAGCTGGCAGAAATTTTTTCCCACTCTGTAGGCTGTCTCTTCACTCTGTTCGTTGTTTCCTTTGCTGTGCAGAAGCTTTTTAATTGATGTGATCCCATTTGTTGTGCCCTTGGGATTCTTTTCAGAAGTTCCTTGCCTACACCTGTGTCTTCAAGAGTTTATCTCCATCACATTAAGTGTTTCTGTTTTAACATTCAGATCTTTGATCCATTTTTGAATTTAGTTTAGTACTGTTTTGGTTACTTTTGTTGTTGCTCAGACAAAATATCTGACACCCAAAGTTAGGGAGGAGGGGTCTATTTGGCTCGCAGTTTGCAGAGGTTTCAGTCCATAGTGGGCTGGCTCCAAGGCAGGGTGGCACATGGCAGAGGGGCATCATGGGGAGAAACAGTCCATGGCAGGGCAGGCAGGAAGCAGAAGGCAGCAAAGCAGCAACCAGCAGGGACCCTCTTTCCTATCCCTTTTATCTTACCCAGGCTATGTCCCCTTGGGGTGGTTAGCACTCACACTGAGAAGGGGGGACTTTTAATCCTATCCAGAACTGTGCCAAACCAATCAGTGGACTGATTTAGTAATCACACACCCTTGATCCCAGCACCACACTCCCTAGATTCAGCCACCTCTGAAAAGCTCCACCTATGACCACATGAGGCTTTGCGGGACATCTAGACACAAGCCATAAGAAGTACAAAGGGAGATATATGGGTCTAGACTCAATCTTCAGCATGCTGGTATCCACTTTCCCCAGCACCATTTATTAAACAGGGTGTCTTTCCTCCAGTGTATGCTTTTGGCTCCTTTGTCAAAGATCAGCTAGTTGAATGTATCTGGGGTTGTTTCTGCTTCCTCTATTCTGTTCCATTAATCCACATTTCTGTTTTTGTGCCAGTATCATTGCTGTTTTTGTTTTGTTTTTTGAGACAGGGTCTCACTATGTAGTTCAGGCTAGCCTGGAACTCTTGGTGATCCTCCCGCCTCAGCCTCCCAAGTGCTGGGATTACAGGTGTGCACCACCATGCCCAGCCATGCTGCTTTTATCAC